GTGACGATGCTGCTGATGAAGATGAGACTGTTTTGTCAATGATACCCAAACCTTCTTGTCAATTTGCAGGAATGTTTTGCGGTATTAATCCGATGAGGACACTGAGGTCATGTTCTGGTACTTTTTGGGAAAACTGGGTTTTAGAAACAGGAACATAGTTCCTGCATTAAAAGTGGGAATCATATGAACTGAGGTTGAAAACAATATAATTCCTCTGACTTTTATTAATGATCTATAATGAAATTATTTAGTGTTTTCAAGCAAAATTTAGTTTTTCATTGTAGGAAAATTCATAAAAGACGCTACTAAAGAAAAGTAAATACCAGTTTGAAAACTTTTATTTCCATTTTAAGCTGATAATTTCTAAACTATTATCACCTATCACCTGTTAGGAAGTTGAACCTTCGTACTGCAGCAGTTCGTATCTGACACCATAGCATAGACATTGGTTTTGTTTTATGTATTTTTCTGCCTTATTATGAGTAAATGAAGGCCATTATTCAAAATCCCAACAAGTCTTAACTTCACATTTCTAATTTCAGCTGGTGTAACGTGGTACACAGATCTGAATTTAAAACTAGAGATAATGCACAAACAACTGGAAACATTAGTCTAAGTGCTGACAGTAAATATTTTATTTTGCTTCAGGCAATGAGGTTTCTGAAGGCCTGTTTTCTAACAGATAGCTCAACGTTGTTTATGCATGCTGCACGAATGCTGTAACAGGGACTGAACAACGAGGGCACCTCAGTTATGGGAACTAAAAGGTTTTAAATCGGAAAAAAATGTTGTTTGCTGAAGTCAATCGCTAAGGTATAGTTTTATTGGCAAAGATTATGTATTAAGATTAGTAGAGTGGAGACTGAATTGGTTCAGAAAGTGGCAGTCTTGTACAAAATGTCTTCTTGAGTTATAGAACTGCAATGGTCTGCATGCTGGATGACATTTGTGCTGGTCAGCCTCACCTTGACTGCTGACAGTCAAACACACACTCAAAACACCCAAGACTTTAAGTGACTGGAATACTCCTTAAGTGTTTTGTTATTAACATAAAAAGTGCATCATTTATAGTTAAATCTGATTTCTGTGCAGGATGTACAGCAGCCAGACTTGCTCTATCTGAACATGTTGGAGAAATAGTTTTGTACAAAAGTTAAATTAACAAGTAGGTTGTTTGTTATTTTGTATCATTTTGTACTGTAACAAAGTGTATCCACCTGTATCAAATGTAACCATTTTTCTTTTTTTTTTTTAGCCTGAATAGTGTTTTGTGTGACCATCAAATATCTACCTGCAGAGTAATGATGTGTTTGAGTAAATATTCTCTTGTTTCAAAGTGTTGATCTGTTTTTGAAGGCAGAAATACTTATTTTCTGAACATTTCAGAATCATTTGCTAACCAAACCGTGTCTGCATTTTCACACTGTCAGCCTCCTGTAGTGGCAATAAGTTGATACTTGAGGCCGTGTTGCTTTAATGTGAAACTCAGGTTTTAGCGAGGGTTTTCTCTTAGAAGATGTTTTACATGATAACATTGTGTGTTCAGTACCGCAGCATAATATTCATTATGTTTATTTGTAATGCCTATGTATTGCTCTGTAGCATTTCTTGTGTACCAAAACAATTTTTCTACTGTATCACAAGTGTGTTTAAATTGTCTACTATGCATTCACACAATTAAACATTTGTTTATATTACCATTTTGGGGGAGGCCAGGGTGCTAGCTGTTAGCAGTGTGTTTCTAGCTTAGCATTTTCCATTGTCAGTTCTCAATCCTTCCTTATGAATTTTATGAGCTGCGTTAAACAACAGTGCCTTGCAAAAGTAATTTTTCCCTCTTGGCATTTTTTTTATTGTTGCATTACCACTTGTAGTTAAAACAAAAAGAAAATCTAAATTGCATATGAAGCACAAAATATTCTAAGTTGGTAAAGTAAAATAAAAAAGACATATGTGTAAAAAAGAATGAAAATTTGCACATGCAAATTATAACTACAGTCTAGAGAGACTAGTTATAATGCTCTTTTTATCACTATATCTCACTACTTTTGTAATGAGGCTTAATAGCGCTGGTGCAGCTAATTACCTTCAGAAGTAACATACTTAGTGACATCAAGTCCACCTGAGAGCAAGCTAAGTGTTGCTCACAGGTGATCTGACAGGTGCATACACATCTTTTCAGAAAAGCCACAGTGGCTGCAACACCAACGCTGACCAAGCAACATCATCACTTCTGCTTGCAAACGATGACTCTACAAAGTTCTAAATTTAGGGGGATGAATATTTATGCAGTGCACACTGAAGTTTTCTGTTATTTGTCCTATTTGTAGTTTGCTTCACAACATAAAGAAAAGGAAATGTTCAATGAGGCATCAAAAGACAAAAAATCCAAAGGAACTGAATACTTCTGCAAGGCACTTACAGGTACTTTGATCTGGCCAGATCTCCTGGCCAGAACTGTTATCCGTGCAACGTTTTGACTCATTCTACAGAATGGAGCACAGGCTTAGATTACAGTGTTTAAGCAGACTCATTTCTATTTAAAATTAACCATGTACGATTTATTTAAAATGTTTTTCTTTTTATCTATGACTCACCAACTTCGAATAATTCATACAAGAGATTTGCTGAAATGTTTTTGCAAGTGTTAGACATATTTTGAGCATAATACTTCAAGACCTCAAAAACAGTGATGCACTTCAAAATTCAAGACACAACGAGGGTGGTGCAAGAGATTTACTGGTCCAACATGTAGGTATTTTCAAGGTACCTGTGAAAAGTCATATTTTGAGGCGTTCAGTTGTTAAACATTTAATGTGGCACCAATCAAGATTTATTTTGTTTTGCTTTTAGAAGCTTGTTTTGAAAAATCCACAAATTCAAGACACCATTTAGATTTTTTTGTGTGGCCTTATTGTAAAAGTTTGAAGTCTCCAGATTATAAACTTAATTGTTGAATTACATGCACACTTAAATATATAATATGATCGGACACAAAACCACATGCTTGCTGATCCTCGTAAGTCGACAAAATGCTCCCAGAAAATAGCTGTTCACTTAAGTTTGCACAAAAATACAGTCGATTTCATAAATTAAATGTTTAAAAGACTTGAAACAATGCTGGATGAGAATGGATGCCCTGAACTAACCCAACCCTGACAGATATCCAAGTCACTTGCAGCAACTACTATGTCAATCACAAACTACATTGATATTTCTTTCGTCTCATACTGATCGTCATTGTTTTTAGAACCATTTTTGATTTTGTCAGTCACAATATAGCTTGTAAACACATTTGTGTACATTTGTCTTGAATCAATCAAATAAAAAATCTAAATATTGGCTGCAGAAGAAAAGAAACTGCAGCATGCTCATTGACAGAGATAATACAGCAGCTGGCAAAGGACATCTTGGACTCAAGAGGAGTGAGCTGGAGTGAGGTGACAAAGATTATAAAATAGACTATAGACTGTAACGACCAGCAGAAAACAAGGTAGTTGACTGCAGAAGAGTTTTTCTTTTTCTTTGGTTTTTAGCTGCAGTTTGCATCCAACAATATTGCATCTCTTGGATTTTATTTCTGCATCATTTCGTTTTCCTTATATTCTCAAAAATGTTTAGAATCATTCATCTTCTCCATCACTGCTAAGTGCTGATTTGTGCTATCACTTACAGTCGCTCTTAAGTTTACAGTTTCATGTAACAAAACGTAAAATACTTTTTAAAAAAGGCGAGGGGAGGTTAAGTCAGTAGGCAGTACCTTCACTCCTTACCTAAACTGGTTATCTGTAAATCGAAATGACCAATTGTGCTATTGTGGAAGAAGTTGGTGTGGTCAGCAGGTGGAGCCCCCTGTCTTTCTTCCCGAGTACAGCAACATACCTGTTGAGCGTCCATTTGTGACCCGATGAGGCGCGACGCCGCCGGTCTTCCTCGCACCAGACGCCGAGCCTTGTGGAGCCCCGCTGGCTCTGCTGTTTGAAGGTTAGTAGTTTTAGTTCTAAGGTATTTTTGAGCCACACAGTGTTCTTCACGTCGTAAACGGCACATGGTCATCCACATGTTGTGAATGCGCGTGAACACACAGCAGCGGGACGACAGAGACACGAGGACGGAAGTGTTTCTGACAGTTTAGTGTTTATTAACGAACTCCGACATTTGTCGCTTCTTTTCACATATGAACTGCATTAATATAAAAATATTTGGTTTCACTATTGTCGACAAGTTAAATGCCTACTTTATACAAATGAACTGACGAATAAATGGTTTAGTGAAAGATCATAAATTAAAAACAATATAATGAATTATGACAGATTTATTAGAAATTCCCCAGTCTTTTGCTTAACTGCAACAGAAGTCTGATTTTCTAGCTATGAATACGTAAATATTAATCTTAGACCTACATATTTGTTCAGGTTTAAACTTTGTCTGACAATTTTGAGTACCTCAATAAATTATTTTATTGTGTTAGTAATGCCTAAATATGAATTTTTTAGTGTCACAAAGAACAAAAATAAATAAATACGAATTTTGACTCTTTACCCTTTCTGAGCAGTAGAAAAAGAAATGAAAAGTCATGTTCTTTAATTCTTTGTATCACGTTTTTTCCTGTCACCCTGATTAAAGTCTGTCATCTGATTGTTTATATATTACCTACAACTGCTACAGGAAAAGACTGACATCTAGTGTAAATTCTCTGCTATTACACTGTTCTAATTGCATGACATTTATTTTAAATCCACAAAAAACACTTAGAAATCTTTCAAAATAATAAATGAATTAATAAATAGCAGAACGTTTATCACAGTAAAAAAATATGTAAAAAAAAAAATAAAATAAAAAAATATATATATATATATATATATATATATATATATATATATATGTGTGTGTGTGTGTGTGTGTGTGTGTGTGTGTGTGTGTGTGTGTGTGTGTGTGAAAGACCAAAGTAACATCTTGTAAATATTGACATAACAGGAGAAAACAAGATTTTGTTTTTAATCTTTTATTTATTTATTTTACAAAAGAATTTCCAATGATTTTTTTTCTCCTTCAAAAACATATTTACAGATTTATACAAAAATACAAAAGAGATTGAAATCTGTTAAGTTCTAGCTAGTTTTGAACATGGAACTACATTGAAACAGTTAGTGTGTGTGTGTGTGTGTGTGTGTTATCGTTTTATCATTGGCTACAGTTTTTTTTTTCTGCTCAGTCAGATATTTTTAGTCTATTTAGTGATATTCCATACTGTACACATTTGAAGAAAAATATGTGGTTATTGTTATACTTCAAAGTTGGGAATAAACTTTATAAAGTTTTTGATCCTTATGTTGTTATTCCCAAGCTTCTCAGGACTCAGATATTACAGTGTAACAAACCTGCAAGGATGCATCAAAGTCTGTATTCCTAATCAAAAGATTTTAATAAATCTTCCATTCACTGCTTTTAAAATTAAAGAAACAGTCGTCAGATATTTCCTACGTACCAGTAGGAAGTACAGTATGGGCAAATCCCTCTAAATAAATAGTCAAATATGTTACAGTATTTTCAGATTCATCATGTTCAATAATAATGTTTGCTGGAGAAACAAAATTCAACTATGAGTCAAACAGACAATGACTTTCTGATCAGGCCACCCGACCGTGTTTATGCATTGATATTTCCGTTTCCATTTCTGTGTTTTTTTTACGCTTATTTGTACATGTCATCCAAAGCAGATGGTCCAGATGTACACGTTTACTGGTTTCTTCAGGAAATAGCTTTCTCACTTCCACAGCTCCAGGGGGACTGAGCCCCAGCACCAAAGCTGATCAGTTTCCACCTTCCAGACAGATCCTATATCCATTTCTTTACACTCTTAAATGCGTGATTGTCCAGTGAGGAGATATACAGTACATGATAAACCCCTGTGTGTGAGCACAACTATACAGAACAGAATTAGCCAGACAGTTTTTACATCTATAGAACACACTATTCAACTTGACATTTAAACAGAAAATACTAAATCTTTTTTTTTTTTTACTGTGGAGAAATCCTGCAGATAAAAATAATGAATAGGTGCTGTCATTTTCTTTATTCCCCTCTTCCCGCCCTCCCCTCCCCTTTTTATTTATTGCATGCGATAAAAAAAAAACACAACAAATAAAACAGTGGACAGGAACAAGTGCGCTTTAGAAATTTGATGAATGTAAAATTCTAGTCAGTTCACAGCTTTTTTACGCTCTCCATCTTACACAGTGTCAGTTCTGCATTAGATTCGCTGAGTTTCAGACAGTTGTGTTTTATCTATCTATCTATCTATCTATCTATCTATCTATCTATCTATCTATCTATCTATCTATCTATCTATCTATCTATCTATCTATCTATCTATCTATCTATCTATCTATCTATCTATCTATCTATCTATCTATCTATCTATCTATCTATCTATCTATCTATCTATCTATCTATCATGATAAAACAGACATGATTTCTGAGGTATTCACAGAATACAGTGAATGGTTTCAATTGAAGCATGGTCTCTAAACATAAGAAGTATATGTGTTGTGTTTTTTCTGGTAGGCAGGTGAGAGTTCAAGCTTTCCACATATTTATATCTATTCAAAGGGCAAATCTCTTTCACCCTTGCAGCAGTCGTAAATGAACCATCAATGTTATGTCGTACTGTTGTCTGTTATTGTCTTCTCTCTTTTTAAAGAGAGATTATGTGATATGTTAGGTTTGAACTATAATCCAGAATGGTTTATTGGCCACTGGGGTTGAGCTTTCACCTGTCTAATGCTACTGGGTCAGTGCAAATGAAGGAGAGGCAACAAGGAGAGGCGAACAGTACACTGCTTAAAAAAAAATAAAAAATCATGTGTAATGTTCAGTGAGACCTGTTCTTTGCTACACGCAGATTGGTTCCCCATAAAAGTTCTCGTAATTTCAATATAGATAAGAGCTTTCTATTCAGTACAAATATACATGGATTTCATTATAAGATATATCTTTCTTTCTTCTATTCTTGTGTAACACGAAGTGCAAAACGAGGTTGGATCTGTGAAACCATACCAAGTTAAACTCTAGTACAACAGATTGAAGTCCTTCTAAAGCATTTTCACCATCTGCCCTCACTGGTTCACTTAAATTTGCAATGAAACGCACATTTCTTTTTTCTGGAATGGCAACTTTTGTTAGCAGCTGGAAAGAACAATAAATTTTAATGTCAGCTTTTGACAAGTGTGAGATTTAATTTTAGTGAAACTTTACATGTAGCTTCATATAAATTTATACGTTCAGGGACTTTCAAATGTCCTGCCACAACCAACTCTGTAGGAGAAAGGCCACTGTGCGATTGTCCAAAATTAGCCTGGATGATAGACAAATAGGTGCAAGCCCTTGCTCCTTCTGTTTGCGATACTCAAAGAAAAATCTGTTTTGATCTATGCAGCGTAAATGCAACTCATATCTTTTGCAGTGACATAATCAATTCTCATGTAATACAAAAGAAGTACAAAACTGTTGACACAAACTAGGATCAGGGATTCTTTCCACATAGGTCATGCAACAAGTTGGAGTCTTATCATTTTCTGAGGAGCATTTTTACAAAAATACATGCATCATGTTAGTATTTGGATATCGTTTTAGTTGACAAATATAAGATTGGCTCTTTGTAATATACTTTATGGCAGGTCTGCAGATGTAAATATAATAAAAAACTTGGTGATGAGTTGAGACTCTTGCAAGACTTTGCTTGTTGGCAGGAATACTGAGTAAAGAGTCTAGGAAGTCTGGCTGATGCACTGGGCACCCTAGGTTGAAAGAATACAAAATGTGGAAAGAATTTTTAAATGAAGAAGTAAATCAGTCCCCAAGTGACATACGTGCACCCGCACCGTTGAAAACACAAAAAGTAGAAATATTAGTAAAGATTGCATGTGCCTGTACATGCACACTCACTTTCACGATATTATGTCCTATCATTGTCCAAACAGTTGAGATTTTTTTATGTTTTTTTTTTTATTTTTTTTTGTTTTTAGAAAAAAGCCTGTTCAATCAAAATATTCCTTGCACTTTTAAAGAAGGGGACTATTCTTCACTAAATAAGGTATTTAAATATATTTTCAGGACTTCATTATAATCCTTTAATGATTCTCTATCTCACAACAGTCTGCCACTTTTAAACAGTTAGCTTTTAGCTGAGTGCATTTCAGCAACAGTCAGATTTGAAATGTTGCAGGAATCCCTCCACTGGTGAAAAGGAGAAGTGCAGGTTTTGAAAATCCAGTAAACAGCTAACAACGGGCAAAAGTTCTTATCAGCTCATTTTATGACGATCTATCATCATGAGGGCTCCCATCTGAGTTTTCTGTCTCCCCTTCTGAAATGGCTTGCATGGGCGCTGTGTAGAGGCGACTGCGTGTACTGTAGCGACTGCTGTTAGCAACCGGGGGGATCCGAGAACGTCCCTGTCGAGATGCAGCTGACATGGGGAGTGTTTTGGGAGTGAAACTTTCCGAGTTGGCCCGAGGAAAAAGGCCTGGTATCTGGATTGGGTCCAAACCAGAGATTGGGGGTTCCTGAGGCATAGAAGATTGCTCCTCTGCCTGTCTAATTGAACCTTCTTGAAGGGATTCCCCTGGTGTTTTGGGGGTAATGGGGCTCTTCAAAATCTCTGTCGCTGACATGCGATAGCTAGAATCAGACCTGCTGCCTTTCTTTAGCAAAAGAAGCTTAAACTCCTCGTTGGATGTGCTGGACTTCTTAGCACTACGATAGATTGGAACAGGAGCTCTCTGTGACCCAACAGCATTGGCTAAAGTAACAGGAAAGTTAAGAGGAGGAGCTGGAGGGACAACACCAGTGGAAACATTACTGGGGGTTACAGCTGACGCAGGGCAAAGACGAGACTTCACGTTTAGGTCTCCTGAGTCTTTACGGCCAAGGACCTTTCTTTTGGATCTGAATAAAAAAATTCCAAAGTAGTACAAAGAAACATTGTCAGTAAATAAACAAACTTTATAAACTTGAAATACTCTAAAGTTGAAGGCAATCTAAGTGTGAACTGTACAAATACCTGTGTATCATGGCAAAAAGGTCTTCTGTTGTACGACTCTTGTTAGGGGATGTAATAATAATGTCGTCATCAACTTTGGTGTCATCCGTCAGAGGGGAAAGTGAATTGTCACTTGGTGTGGAATCTGTGGAACACAACATCTCCTTGATATGTCTTGTGGTTGTCTGATTAATTAGTACATGTGCTAAAACATACTGCTCTTTACTAAATACTACTTACTCTACATCCTTTAAATTTGTGCCAAAAATGAGTTTTGCTCATTGGCAGATCATCACAGTGGACTGGTTTATTGTGTGTGTAGACAATGTTTGGACTAAGATGAAGCTGGATCCAGTACAATGTAAGTTGAAATAGGAAAGCAAACAACTTTTAACAAAGAATAATAGAGTAGTGTTTTTAGTTTACATTATAAGGAAACAGAAGATTTGGTTTCACCACAATCTGTGTTTGTTTCAAAACTATTACAAGCAAGATCCCCACCCATTGCACTATTTGTGTTCTGTAAGATGCAGTATGCAAACTCATTTTAGTTTGATTTAGTTTTTCAGCTTACCTTTGCTAAAGTAATCCTCAGTGTCAGGAGTGGTGGAGTCATCCTTGCTCTCTTGGAGTTGGTGCGGATGGGCACTTCTGGTAGCACCTGATATCACTTCCCTCTCTTCTTCATGCACTTCATGGCCTCCTGTCCTTGCATCGCTGATTAGGTAAGGATGCGATGCCTCTGTTGTATTACCAGGCACTTTGACAGGACTAGCCCATGGCCCTGAGTTTAAGTGGGATCCCCCAGCAAATTCATAGGCTGGGGGAGGAGGGTGGTCCGATCGCATTCCTCCTCTGGAACATGCAGCCTTCTGCGGCTCTTTTACCTGCTCGTCTTCTTCCTCTTCCTCCTCCTCCTCATCCTCGTCATCATCCTGGGAGAACGAGCGCTCCCCCAAAACTCTAAACTCGGAACGTGCATGTGTTGAGTGGGTGAGCCCCCTGAACTCTGTGTGTGAGTGAATATGAGTGTGAAGATCCACAGGTGAAGGGTGTGGAGCACGTGGAACTGGTCGATGCAGGGGTGAACTGTCTTCAGAGATGTCTGACGAAGGGTCCATCCTTGTCCTGAAGGCAGTCATCGCCCAAAAGGTTCCTGGTCCATACCGGTCTTGCCTTAGAAGCAGACTTTCATAGGATGGAGGTCCATCAGGGTGGCGACCAGGTGGAGGTGGCTGGGAACGTTCAGGAGAAGAGGTGTGATCATGACACGGGGGTCTGGGAGGTGGCCTTCTGGGAGGGAGAGGCCTGGTATTAACAGGGGGAGGAGCCAGGGTGGAACTACTTGGGGAACATTTTGGCCTTGTTACAGTCTCAGTTCCATTCGCTGTGTCCTGGTATGTTGTGGAAGTACACTGCGGCTCTGAAGATTGGCTAACTGAATGAAGCTTCACTGAACGAATTGTTGGAGTAACTGGCAGAATGTTTAAGCCTGGATTTGTTAAAGCAGAGCCTGAACTTGGTGGTGGATTGGTATTGGTTATCTCAGGGACCATTATTTTTGGTCCAGTGGACAAAACATTTACAACTCTGTGTTTGTTGTGGTGAAGGATGTGCATGTGGCATGCTCGGTGGGATAAGGTGTGTCTCACATAACCTCCATGTAGAACATTGAGATCAAGTTGAGAAGGTGGAGGTGGAAAGTCTGGATCTCTCTTATTGCAAAATGAAATGGAAGCCCCATCTCTAGGAAATTGTTGCAAGGAAGAGAGAGATGACTTCCTTTCTGGCACTTTAGGCTTTCTCTTGCCAGTTGAAGGGGACAGTGGTCCTGGGAAGAAGGCTGCTGAAGATGAGGGTAAGGTTGATGTTGGGGTTTCTGACTGACTGGAATAACCACTAGATGGTGAGGCTAGGCCGGCCAGTTTCTCAGGTGACCCAAGTTTAAAGTCTCCAGATGGGAGAGATGGACTGCTTTCCTTGGACTCTAAGGTCTGGGCAACAGCCTGGATTTGTGTTTCTGTGGAAGAGGAAGAGCTGTCTGGTGACTTCATACAATCCATAACAGTGGTGCCTGTAGCTGTGCTTGAGTTAGACATTGATGTGTACTCACCATTGTTAGACTTAAGCTCACTGTTGTGAAGCCACAGATCTGCATAGTCAGACTGCACAGCACCTTCATCCTTAAATGAGTGTGTATCGGCAGAACTAAAGGACATGGGCTCTACTATGTCCATGGCTCCCCCCAGTCCCATACCCCAAGTTCCTAAAGACTCTGTAACTAGACAAGATGACTGTAATGGTTCTGGAGCTCCTCCAAGTTCCAGGTCCAGTTCCAGCTTCATATCTGTGGAAGACGAGGTAAGTTCTTGTTCACTAACCATCTTTGGTTGATCCTTATCAGCTTGTGTGTCTGTTCCAACATCAACACTACTATTTGTTTCCTTTAGTGAGGATGTTCGCTTGGGTGGTGGAGGTTTAATTTTTGATTTTCTTAAAGGACGACAAGTCCTCCCTAAAGTCATAGTGCCTGTTTTGAACTCAAGTGGAGGCTGAGGATAACCTCCATGGGTTAATCGTTTTGCCACAGTGTTGGACTGATGACAATCAGGCCCGAGGTCTGCATAGTTACATGTGTATTCTCTATAGCTCTGATTATACTCCCCAAGATTCACAGAGGATGAGTAGAAACCTTCTGTATCAGATGGATAATGAGACCCAGGCTCTTTTTCAGCATTTGTTTTCTGTTTACTGAAACATGTTTGGTCATTAAGACCTTCCATTGAGCTGTATTCTTGAAGAAACTGGTGGCTTTCACTCAGTTTTTGGGTGGGATCTGGGTCTTGATCTGGATCAGTCTGATCTTGGTCTTGGGGGTATGTCCACTCCCCTTCGCTGGCTGTACTGACCCCCGCATCATCTAGCTGGTCTGTGGCTGATGATGTAAAAGAGCTTGATCTGTGGCCTTGACTCTGGGGCCTGAGGTCAGAGTGGTAGGAAGGATCCAGGGAAAATCCCTCATCAATGGCATTGGGTGCTGTATTAAGTGATAACTCTGAATCACAGTGGGAAGAGCCTGTCAGGGGTGGAGAAGAGGGAGGGGGGATAGTTTCAGATGTTTGCGAGGGGCAGGTAGAGCTGGAGCCACTCCAGTTTCCACTTGATGACTGGTGGTCCTCCTTGTGGTCCACATGACTGCCTAGAATGCCTGTAGTAGACACTGAGTGAATAGGGCTGCTAAAAGTATCAGAACTGGATGAAATTTCACAGCTACCCATGTCAGCCTTGCGGGGCAAGCGAGAGCGACCCCTCTCCATCCAGCTATGTTCTGGACTCCCACCTCCTCCACCGCCCCGGTCTCTTTCACTCGACCTCTGCAGTCTTTTTAGGCTACCAAGTTGCAGCGGCCCAGGGACTGCCTGGTCATCTGTACTCTCTTCTTCATCCTTCATCATCATCATCTTCATTCTTGGACTTGGTCCGGATGGAATGAAGTCCTCTGCTTCATAAGGTGATAAATCTTCATCATCATCATCATCGTCATCATAGTTGTCATCATCGTCTTCGTCACTGTCAATTAGACGGCCGCCCTCTCTTGGAAGGCTACGTGAGCGTAAGCGGCCACCGTGTGTAGAAGCTGTTGTGTATGTTGAGTCCGACTGGTCACCCAAGGAGGAAATGTTACCCGTAGAGTGGGACAGAGAGGCAGGGATACCTTGATGGCTGCGCTGAGCTCTAATGCGTCTTCTGGAGGGAGCAGCTGTACCTAAAAGGTAGAATCAGAAGAGAGAATCACAGATGTTTTTCTTTCACTGTCTGAACCAACAGATATAAGTCGAAGATGAATGTAAACAGATAGTTCTATTCTAGCAAAGCATTGGCATTGATTTTAAAGGCTAGACCTGACAATTACCAATCAATCTTTTATGCTAAAAATATCTATCCCTGCTTCAAATTTGAACTTGCAGCGACATTCTCCATACTTTGTGATCTGAAACATACATGCTATAAGGAAATCATCTGTCTGGCAGCCAGAGTCACGAGTGTGATGGAGACGCCCACTAATTGAGAGGTCCTCTTGACAGAGAGATAGTTGATGTGAATTGGTGTGGATGATCACTGTACGCTCTCTTGCCACAGGTGATTCATCTGAGTCTGAAATTAAATGAAATAAAGTATACATACAATTTCTTCTTGATGTGGCAACTGTGAGTAAGTCATGTGAGTCCTAACATCAACCTACATGTATCTGCTTTAACATACCCATGTCCTGTTGTACCCGTTTGGGTATTCCAGTGATAGTCTTTCTCCTCCTCAGCTTCCTTCTTCTCTGAAGCACCGACTGGGAGTGAACTAGAGAGCAACGGGCACTGGCCTCTCTGTCAAACCCGACTCCTGCTTTGACAACAGAGAAGCCAGGAGACATTTACATGTCTGAAGCAGAGCAGTACAGATTCTCACTAGTGATTATTTTCCCAAATGATTTACTAGTGCTGAAAACTTAAAACTATCATTAACAAAATTATATATTGCTTAAAACATCCTTGCCAGATATATTTAGAACAATGAGAAGGTATTTGGTTTTTTTTCTGTCTTTGTTGTAACAAATCTTCTTGACATTAAATCTTACTCTGTTGAATTTATTATCTATTTCCCAATAAACAAAATTGTGGGTTGAGCTGCAGGGTTGAGGATGTGGATTGATTGATTATACACTGGCAATAATATATCTATACACTCTCATGGATCTAAACTCTATTCACACCAACAAAGCTGAATATAGCAGAGATTGCCTGCAGAATATGGGAGTGTGGCATGGATGGAATGGTTTTTCACTCATGACCCCCAGCACCAATTAACACTTGTGGTATAAACTAAAAAGTGCTGTCTGTGCCAGAGTAACCAAGAACAACAATACAAAGCCTGATATGCAGCAAATGCTGCGTGAGGGGGATTCCGTCCTACAGAAGTGTGTAACCAAGCTGGTGACCAGCACAAGGAGTTAGTAGGTTGTTGTGGTTGTGTACTGAAGCTTCTCTGAGTTTAATAAGTAAATTGTTAAACTGTGTTTGGAACCCAGCCATGAGGAACTGAATTGCACACAGAGAACAACCTGGAAAAGCGTGAACAGTAGACATAATGAACCAGACTTTGGAGAATTGGAAGTTTTTATCTCCTGTAGCTTTCAAGGACTGCATTGGGAAGACAAGTGCAAGGCACCCTTCTTTGCTGGCAAAAATTAGGACTTCATCTTCAAAGGAATCAAAACTGATCGGTGTGACTATATGCTAACCAGCAGCCATATTCCAGCTGAAGATAAGCTTGAGCAAGCTTATTAGAAATTCTGCAAAAATAATCAAATTAATAATAGATTTCCCCCAAAAAAGACTGCTTTGGATCCTGCCTACTATGACTGAGGAGGCAGGATCAAAGACATCGTCCTGAGAGAAAGGAACCACAGCTCCACACATGCTGCCTGTGTCTGCCAGTCCAACCCAATGCTGCCCCACGGTCTTACTGATCACGCTTGCCCCAGCCCAGAAAGCACTTCCCGGAGCTGGGAGACGAGGAGCCATGGCCCCCCCACATGATGCTCGTGTGCACCAGTCCTACTTCACTTCCCCAGTCTGCCGCTGCAGAGGTGCCCTCTGATCACACCATCACAACTTCCTTTGTTCATTTTCCACTCAATAGAGATTCCCCTATTCTACAGAACATCTAAAGTTCATGATGACTTGTGACAACATTTCATCATTTTATTTGTTCATTTTCACTGTTCAAATGCTTTTTAATATTGTGCAAGTTTTTATTTTCTTCTTTTTTTTTCTAAACTAGCAGTTTAGCTGAGAGTCACTAGCTCAGTAAGTTTATTGTTTGATGTACTTTAACTGGAAGGTTGAATTACTTTTTTTCAAAAATATTCTTATACTTGAAAAAAATTGTCTGTCAAGAATGCCAGTGCTGAACTTAATCTTTCATTTATTGTTATTTCAAGCCCTATCAGCCATTTATTCTTAAAACAACAACTGAGACTGGAAACTATTTGACTATTATTTTCTGACAGTCAGATGTATCGCCTCCTATCGTGGAGCAACTGCTTAAGTACTTTCGGCTACGAATGTGAATAGCCTTGAATCAAATTCTTTTTTTCCCTGTTAATTTTACCTGTGACATTAATGGGGATAATGCATGAGGAGACCGCTTGAGAATCGCCATTTGTCTTCTGATCTGACGGCGGGACGTTTTCCTTTGACCAGTTTGCCTGCTTGTCTTGGGCTGCGGGGGCACTGTGGTTTACGGCCTTCGCTGTTTGGCCTCCAATGACCTCACTACTTTCACTTTTCTCTATCGAGGTGACCTGGAAGAGACATGCAAAATATTACATGTGATTTAACACACTATAAACCACCAGGCTTTTTTATGCTGGAAAGAGATAGGAGGAAAAATAGAAACACAAAGGTTTAAACAAAACAAATTTTGGATACCTTTCTATTCCATGGAATGAAGATGCAACCTTCAATAGTTTCAAGTGAGTAAAAGCACTCAAACTATAAACACAAAATACAACAAACAAAATTAAATGAAAACACTATACCATGAGTTATCAAAAACAACAAAAATATTAGTAAATAAAATTGTTCAAATAAAAATCAAAATATGACAAATGAATGAGAATATTCTTCTTTACAAATGTAAGAAAATGTTCTGTATATTTGTAAACTTCTCACTTTTCTTTCGATTGTTTTCACATCCTCCTCTCTACCAGGCCTCTCTTGTAGCTTAACAAAATAGAAAAGAAAACAATGTTTTTTGTTCTCTTTGCAAACATAAGAAAAATAAGACAATAATGTAATTCCTTACCTTTCTCTCTGTGGTCTGGATATTTGTTTCTTTGACAGTCTTCTCCTTCAAAAGATTCAAAACAAGACAGCCTAAGCATCACAGATTGGAATAAACTCCAATCTTTTCTTTAAATAATAAATTAAAATAAACTCAATTCTAATGAAGTAAAAGTCAGCTGTTCAGCCTAAGTCACGATTTCCAACCAAACACATTTGCACAAGGGCAGCACCTTTGTGACGAAGTTCAGTAGCAGCAACGTTAAATCTGTGACATACATATAAAATGAGCACAAGTTGTATGTAACGTAATTAAGAATTAGTTGAACATTAGTTGAACATTGTAAAGTGTGTTAGTGAATGTCTCATCAAGTAAAGATGAGTAGTTAGTAACTGAATCCTCTTTTTGGGATATTTACCAGTCTCTGAAAGAGACCAATTATAAAATGACAAATATATATATATATATATATATATATATATATATATATATATATATATATATATATATATATATATATATATATAAATATATATATATATATATATATATATATATATATATTATATATATATATATATATATATATATATATATATATATATATATTAATCCTCTTTTTAGGATATGCTGATTTGTAAAAACACACCTTTCTGGGTTGATACTCCAGCTCTCGTTCCCTCTCTGCTCTCTCTTGCTGCATAATGAAATTAGAAAAAGATTCAGGCTATTAGATTACACTTTATATAGAACTGAATAATAAAACAATGTATTTGCGTTAAATGAAATTTTTCTCTGAAAAATACATAAAAAGCCCATGTAAAATGTGCAGCAACTGAAAATGTTTCAGGTAAATTTTGTCTGTAATATGAGTTAGTTGACCATGCTTTCGTGTTGACTGTATATCTTGCTTGAATGAATCCATTGGCAGTGTTTTTCTTTCCCCTATGAAGTTGTTCTACCCAGTGATTTTTTGATCAGCTGGCTCTTTTTCTCACTAAATGTAGCTATTGCTCTCATTAATCCTGTAAAGTGTTTCTTTTTTAACCATAGAAAGTTTTTATGATTTACTGATTCTCTGCTCACTAGGTGCCTTTTATGAAACAAGTTCTACGCCCTGTCTGAAAAAGGCATACCGCTCGCGCGAGCCGACTCCTCTGTTGCCGCCGAATGCTATGCGGTGAGGGAAAGGTGGGCATGGGTGGCGCCACGGAGATGGAGATGGTCACCCTGTTTCTCTCTCGACTTGAAGAAGGCTGATGCTGTTGTTCGTCTGCAGCCAAAAACATTCATAGAAACTGATCATCTGTAAAAGGGCACCAAATACATTGCTGCTTTTTGTCTGTGTTGCTCTCACCGCGATGCAGAGCTCTAAGGCTCAGATGGGCATTCCTGTGGAGCTCCTCCAGACATGGCGGTCTGGTGCATGGGTGAAACACGTTGTGTTGCTGGTGCCATGGAGCCTGATAGTGCGCCGACAGCTTGCTCTCCATATCCAAGTTTGATACAGCTAAAGGGAGAAGGGACAAAGACAGGAAAACATGAAATGGGAGCAAAGACTTTTTCAATGATTACAGTGATTACCAACAGGAACTTCTATCCATGAATTATCTTCCGCTTATCACAGATTGGGTGGTGAGGGCAGCAGCCTGAGTAGGGAGGCCCAGACTTCCCTCTTCCCAGCCACTTGTGTCAACTCCCCCGGGGGAATCCCAAGGTGCTCCCAGGCCAGCCGAGAAATATAAATAATCTCTCCAACATGTTCTGGGCCTTCCTGTACGTGTCTTCCCAGTGGGACATGACCAATCCAAACCAAATGGCCAGATCACCTCAACTGGTTCCTCTCAACATGGAGAAGTAGTTGTTCTGCTCTTGAGTTCCTCCTGGATGACCAAGCGTCTCATCATATCTCCAAGGGAGAGCTCAAAAACCCCGTGACGGACACTCATTTTGGCCACTCGAGTGTTTTTTTTAAATATAATTTTATAATTCTACATCCTATCATTAGCTGGTCTCTGAATAAACATTCTATAAACTAAGAGTGTTTGCTAATAATGAACACTGTTCTTCAAAGAAAGGTGCCATTTGTGATATTATAGCATAAGTAGCACAAAAATTTGTCAAGCTCACATCCAGATACTACTTTGTAATTTACCTTCAGTACCATGTTTAATTCAATATTGTATCAACCATTAGACAATTTGCTGAAGCTGTACCATTATACAGTAAAGCATGTTCTTTTTCTGTTTTTTTTTTAACTGTGCAACTAAATATTGCAAGCATATTAGGTGCCAGCAGGTGGCAGCTGAACCCACCCACGAAAGCCAGACGTGCAGATCGCTGTTTTTCTCTGTCCCTCATGTTTGCTTATTACCAAAATCTATCATTATACGAAGACAAAAGCACCCCTGCCATCTTGAATGGCAGATGTATAATAGTCTCCATGGTAGGAAGAAGAGGAAGAGGAGTGTGATTATCTATTCCTCTTATCTGCTCTCAAAAGTCCTCTGGCTTTATTCATGAGTCGTTTCCCCTCTTTTAACCTGATATTCAACATGCAGTTGTGTCCTTGAAAGCCATGTTGTACATCAGTAGCCAAGCAACCTTTCATCGCTCATCAAGGCTTTTATTTGCTGCCAATTAAATCAGTGAGCTCACATCAACAGCTTTGGGTTGATTGAAACTACAAGGTTAGAGCAGTTCATTTACACAACATAATCAGTGACACAGCTGCCTGCCCTGAAGAGTGACAAGTTCCAGTTCTTTATATTTTATAAGCTATTTATCGATATCGATCTGTGTGTCTGTGGATGGGCATATTTATGCATAAATACATTGGCGTAGACATAGATATAGATATTTTTCAAAGTAGCCGCTGAAATGTTTTTCTGGCACAGTCGAGCTATTGTAATTCTTTTGTCGACAACATAAATTAACGTGAGAGCTGCTTGACAAACTGAAATTCAGTTTGCTTCATTATAAGTTTTTTCCCCCAGCATGCAATTCAGATGCATCCACTTGCCATCATACAAACATCTTTAGAATATTCACCGTTTAATTAATCCATTTACTAATTATTGGGGGATTCTTTGTCCTAAAATTGGGGCGTGGATTTTTTCTTTAAAAACCTGCGTTTCCTATGGCAAGGATTAAGAAGCCATTTTTAGTGGTAAAAGATACAGTACAGATTTATTAATTATGATTTCTTTTAAATCTAATCCCATGGTTTAAAAAAAAACACAAAAAAAACAGGTCATGGTAAGATTTGACAATAAATCTTTGAAAAAGCTGAGCTGGTTATTCTTAACTCTATTTGGCCTGCAGTTCATTATTTGCGGCAGCATTTCATGTTCGGCAAAGATACAACTGACCACAGATCTATGCCGGTTTAATTGAGTCCCTTTCCTCTATTCTACCTATCATATTATTACTGTGTTTCTCTAACTGTTTCCCCCCCCCATCTTTGTGTCTGCAGGTGCAGTGTCAGCAGCTTACACTGTCATTATTAAGACTGCCTCCGAGTGCCAGTGGTGGCACACAGAAAGAAACGGTGAATAAATTCACCATGCACACTGCAACACTGAAAACAGAGGATTGTGGGGCCCAAGTAGTCAGTATTTCTTTTTGGTTAATAGTGCTGTAAACAGGGAGGTAGACATATTTGTTGCATAATGTATTTTTACAATGTATTTTAATTACACTATTTTGAAGTCTCACAAAAATCATGAGTAATTAAAGCTTATGGCCAATTACACAAAACTGACACAGGAAGTTGCAATGATACTTCTGAAACACTCAACGCCCTAACCTGTCTGCTCTGTGTGATTTATTTGACTATTGCAACATTTCATATATATCTTAAATTTTCCTAAATCATCCTGTCTATCTCCTGTTATTCCAGGCTCAGTCGCACTGTTTTGTTCATATATATATATATATAAACCACCTGTTATTTAATAATAACTCAATTTCTTTTAGAAACAAATAAAAAGTAAAACACTTGTGAAACCTTTGAAGCAGTACTGATTACTCTTCTTATGCGCCAACGCTTGGACTATAAGAAGAGTTAATGTTCATGTTAAATGTAGAATAAGGCACATCAAGCACACAGATTAAAAATGGTGAAAAGACTACATTATTATTATTATTCTATAGTTTTTACATCTAAAATAAACTAGAACGAGCTTCAGATCACAGCAAGTCTGTTGATGCAGTTTTTCAGGTTTTAAGAGAAGTTAAACTGTAGCGTAAAACCAGTGGTAGCATCAAACTATGAGGAGATAACAGTGTCCCATCCTCCATGTCACAGAACACAGATTTATCATTGCCGTTTCTCTTTCTGGCACAGCTATATGATCTCTCTCTCTAGTACAGATATGAGTGAACGTAAGTCATTAGTGGAGAATGTATTAGGGTGTATCTGGGTCAGGCAGCACACTCCCTATGGCAGTAGCTGCAGAATCTTGTCATAGCAGACAGCTGTTATATAAGAAACACTCGCTGTCTGCAAAGGAAATCCTACAGTGTCCAGCCACGTGCACAGGCATTTTTATTCAGAATTTTTTGAAGCAAGCATTTACCTCTACGTTTATTTTTCTTTTAACTGCTTTAGCACCACCAACAATATCCCAACTTTAAGATGAACCCTCTCAGGCTCAAATTACTTGAAAAGACTGTTTAAGTTGTTGCAAATCTGCAACACCTGCCTGGAGAGGGTTAATTTGGCTAAAAATTAAGACTTCAAGAACAGAATACAAGAGACAGTTTACTTTGGATCTCAGAGGGTCTCGTCTGCAATTTGATGTTCGCTTCTAATTCGTCACATGCTTTAAATGTGCCTTCTACAACAGCACATGCAAATAAACAACATGTGATATACTTCAGAGTGAATCAGATTATGGTTCCTCCGTATGGCAATGGAATACATTGTAAAAAAAAAATATATATATATATATGACCACTAGAAATAGTGGATGAATCGGCATGAAGATGTATGGAACAAAATCGTAAATTGGATTTTTGATTGGTTTACTGGTTCATTCATTCTTTTTCAAAAGTCTTTTCATCAAAACATTTATTAATATTTCTGGTAAAACACATGAAAAGTAATAAAGCAATATTGCAGCTGCATAATCTCACGCTGAAGATTTATTCTTTAAATATAACCATCAATTTGAGCAAATTAATAGTTTTTTGCTATTAGGACAGTTCCTATAAAATAAATGTACTTTCAGTGTTTTTGGAATCCATATTTTTTTCTAAGTTAATTATGTTATCTGGGGATATTATAGCAATAATCCTCGACTTCCTGTTATTCTGGGGTATTGAGATGATGTCCCCCAATGGGCCCATTTCTTTTTGCCATTCTTCACAATGATAAGGTCAAAAGAACAAGACATTCAAGTAAGGCAGATCAGAGTTGATCTTATAAAATACAAAACACACAAAGCTCCACTATGTACCACCTTTAGAAACTCAGGAGGTGCTGATCACATTTTGTGACATAATCTTACACTGAGCTTCCATTCACAAAACCTTAATATTACAACAATTACACTGCATCAGCTGATAAACAAGCTGGTGTCATATTCCTCCTGCATAACTCCACCGCGCATTGGTTTTCCTGATGCTCACGTCAGAACAACAACAAAGGAACATGTCATCCACTCTAAAGATATTTGACATTCCAGACAACAACATGAACTAAAGAGGGAATAAAACAAGATCAACAGGGATGTAGTAGACGGTACCTTTGGACTGCACGGGGGCACAGCCCAGACCAAGACAAGCCAACGCCATGATTTGAAGCCGTCTGCTGTGTCTTTCCCACGATTTTTGATTTCTACGCAGCCCCTCCTTTCTTCCTGCAGAATCCTTTTCGTCTGTTGCTCAGGAGCATCGCCTCACTTACTCCTGCAGAACTTGCTGAAGCAATCCCTTGCAAGTCCAGCATCCAAACTAACAGCATTTGGAGACGCATAGACCCTCCCCCCTCTTCACCCACCCACCCGATTCTGTTCCCCATTCATTGGTTCATTAAGGTGCTTTTTTTCTTGTTTTTTTTTCTTTATGTTAACAATCCTTCTCTATGTCCACATTATGGTTTAGCGGTAAGGTAAGCCTGTGCTGTCTCTCAATCTGAAATTTCTGTTTTGTTTTTTTTTCCTCTAACTTGTCTCTAGTTCACCCCCTCATCTGCGTGCCTCAGATGGTAGGATCCTGCCTGTGCATGGCCTGTCACTGACCGTAATCTCTTTTTGATGCAGTAATATGCGAAGGGAGGGGGAGATTCAGCCTCAAAGTATTAATGTATTAATCCACCACATGCTGGGAATATGTATCACATGCTCCAGCCTTCTATTGCTGCCATCAGAGAGTGAAGACCTTAGAGAGGGTTTATGCAGGAGTAAAGTGATTCATTGTAATTGCCAGCTGCTGATAAGCTCTACACCAAAAAGGAAGCATAGAAATGCAAATACACAAAAAAGAATCAATAAATAAATCACAAACACCATTACCTATAAGTATTGTTGAATGACGCCGTCAAGAAAACTTTGTTTGTCTGGTGAAGGTGAAACATTCCCGTGTGGTCACAAAATGCACGGCATGAAACGTGCACCGATAGGCAGAGAGAGTGGAAGAGCACCCTGCCTGGTAATCTGCTGTAATCTGGAGCTCTGGCAGCTCACCGACTTTGGAATAGAGCCGCCAGAGTCAGCGGCCCGCTCGAGGAGCTTTCACCCTCCCGCCATGCCCCAGAACGACACAGACCAGCAAAGTCTGCGCACACGTGGGTTTGCACGCTTTTGCCGCGGTGGTCAACACCAGCAGGCAGGAGAGAAGATCACTGTGAATTTTAAATGTGCATATGCTCCTTGCGGTTTGTCTCATTTATTTACAACAGATTTCCCCCCAACATGACTGCGGGGAGCTTCTTAATAGCTTGTAGCCCCTGTGGTTGTTTGTCAGGTTGTAATGTCTTGTGTGAAACATCAAAACATCAATGCTGGGTCACACAGACATCTTAAGCACACATATTCTTTAAAAATACTCATAGTTGTAGTTCCATTACATTACTGATAGGTTTAATGTTCTTTTTTTTAGCTTTTTTTCTTTCTTTTTTTTGCTTAGTTTCTTCTAATAAAAGACAGATGAAACATCTTGTGCTATCCTTTCCCTCAACTCATTTCCTCAAGACTAAAATGAATAAATCATTCTTACTCTCTAATCCACAGTGGCTCCTTTTTTTAGTTCCTCTTGGCTCCACTCTGCTCTAACCTGCACCGTGTTCATGTTAAACATGGTGTGCTCTTTCTTATTAGGCTCTGAAAGCTTTCTTTAATGTGAGTCACAGAGTACGACAGTGAAACTAAAAGCTTTATTTATAGTCACAGTATATGTCACAGTGACTCAGAGTCAAAGAAAAATATCACCAGTGCAACAGGATTATTTTCAGAAGCTGCTCTCAAAGTTCGCTTTGCAGACTCAATGAAAAACAACCTCCTCTACTGCCCCTTGGTGGCGAAAAGGGCAAACTACAGACTCAGGCAAAGCTGCCTGTGGCTTGGCAGAAATCAGTCTAATTAAGTTGTCAGTGCTGGGACAGTTTTTCGGCTTAGGAACATGTATGCAGTTAAATCTGTTTGCAAACTCAGATTCACGTGAAATGAAATGAATGTAATGAACGTGTCAAGTTTTTTTTTTTTTTTCAGTAAATGTGTTTCTGATGTGGTTACTTGCATAAAAGCGAAAATCCAAGTAATCCTCACAGACAAACAGATCAAAACAAGTAAGTCAGTAAATTTGGTTATGTGTTATATAGTATAATGCCATAGGAAATAAGTACTGAACACATGAAGACAATTAGCCGTAAAAAGGAAGCCAAGAAAACAGCCTAAAATCTCTTATTCGTCCTGCCCCTAATCAGCGCCAGTTCTAAATGATGGCTCATGGAATGAAAGAGAAACTCTCGAGGTTTTTCCAACCAACTCAAAAATTAATTGGAAAAGTTTTCTAAAAGTTAATGAGCACTTGTTGAAACCTTCTGAGAGACCTGGAATTAGATTGTGGCGTTTTACCATGGAAAAAACAAGTAACGCACTAAACTACACTGTTCTCCATGCCAACTCAGTTCACAAGAAAAAGCTGATGTTCATTAAACGTCCTGGTTGACAAACTGATCCAATATTGGGAAAATAAAGAACTAAGCGCTTTGGCTGTCATTGCACACTCAAAGTTTGGAGAGGCGACAGCACCACACACATCACCCCCAAAATACCACACCAACAGCGATCATTACAGGAACATCATGGTGCAGGACTGTCTTTAGGAAAACAGTGCTTTGAGACTTTATATCACTAATGTTATTTTATTTATTTGACATTTATTTATACAAGGTAAATCTGACTTAGACACGCTCTCATTGTCAGGTAACCCGTTTTTAATAGATGTACAAATAAACAACAATACGTTGAAGCCGACTGAAGTCAGTACCATCAAACGAGACACAACTGAAAATAAAAGACAAATTGACACTCATTGAAAACCCACTAAAAGGTGTGAAGATGAAAAAGAAAACAGAGGCGCCCCTAATCTCAAAAATCTAAAGACACTGGCAGAAACAACTGAACAACAAATACAACTTGCTTCTCCGTAAAATCTTAAACTTGTCAAAAGGGCTCTTTTTTATGAAGTCCCACCAAATCCTCCAGAAAGTGTGTGTGTGTGTGTGTGTGTGGGTGTGTGTGTGTGTGTGTGTGTGTGTGCGCGTGTGTGTGTGTGTGTGTGTGTGTGTGTGTGTGCGTGTGTGTGTGTGTGTTGTGTGTGTGTGTGTGTGTGTGTGTGTGTGTGTGTGTCATCCCTTTTTGCATGCCACCTTTTGGCCAAACAAAAACCACTGTGATTAGCATTAACACTGTCAGGTACAAAAGATATTGAATTGTGTATTCATAAATTGAAACAAGGACTTCAAGACAAAAATGTTGAGAAAAGCACATTGCATTTATGTGGTTAAACATCTCAACTTTGAAAAATTTGTAGTCAACCTCACATTTACTGCGGTTGCAGGTGTTCTTTTTATAGATTCCCTCCAAAAATATAATCTGAGAGCACCACTGTATAGACCGGCATTAGGTGTGTGGGAAGATGTCACAGTGGTACCAGTGCTGACAGCAGTGAGTGCGTGTGTGTGTGGGTGTGTGTCTGTGTGTGTGTGTGTAAAGGGGGGTGGAGGGAGTTAAACCAATCTCTGGGTGTGCTTGTCAAGCCTTCTTCAGCCAGCATTATTCCACCACTGTGTGTCTTTAGGTATGTGTGTTTGCAAAAGCTTTAGCCATGTTGGTGAAATGGCACAAGACGAGCCATCGCCCATGTTATTTTTAACTGCGTGTCTCCATGGAAACCGGCGCATATGCTGGGGGGGGGTGATCTCCTGCTGAGCATGTGTTATGAAGGACTCCTACCACTGGTCAGAGTGTGTCTGCGGCTGTATACATGTCTGTCTGTGTTTGTTTTGGAGGGGATCCTCTTCCTTAATTAAGCCATGCACAATGATTGGTGTTTAAACTGCTGTGTAGAAGTTTTGTATTTGATCCTGGTTATGTCTGCTGACCCATCACAAGCCCTAGGAAAACAATGTATAGAGACAGCGAGAAGAGCGGAATTACACAAGCTTGTAAGTCAAAACTATTCAAAGTTTAAAACTTTTATTATTATTGGCAGTAATATTTAATACTTTAATAGCTGCACTGTTACTATCAATATCAATCAGAAGGCAATGTCCTGTGCCAGGAAAATGTTTGAAACTACTGCAAATACTCACTACAATTATCTGCTGCAAAAGGTGGTTTATAAATAGTCTATAAACAGCCATATAACTTTTGAATGAGAATCTTACTTTTCTGGCTTCCTTCACTGTGGCTATGTAAGCAATTTTTTGTTTGTTTGTTTTTTTTATATATAAATTGGAACATTTGGATATTTAATATAAATTTTCACAATACAAAACATGTGGCTAATATAAATAAGTCATACAAATGGAAGAAATTACATTCTAAAATGTTCTGTAGAATGTAATAAAAACATTGATTTCTGAGCAGTAATAAATTAGGATTATTCATTCTCACTCAAAATGGCTGACATCACATGCACAGCAAATTTTGCAGTTAAATCACCACCATGCCGAGATTATTAGATCCTTATCAGAATTGGTGTTAATTTAACTCTTTTCAGAGTTATTTCAACAAGAAATTGAGTAATTTTAACACTTGAAAAAGTTGTTACTTCTCAAACTATTTTTGAAATAACTCTGTCAGAGTTAAATTAAAACCAATTCTGAATAGAATAAAATAGACTAGCGTGTTGACATAGTGTTGATTTAACTCAGCAGAATTCATTGTGTGATTAGAACATCAGCTCTCATTATTTTGAAGAATGTTTGGACCATTCATCAAGTATAAGATCTTCCAACACATTGTGTTGAATCACCTACATATTTCAGAATTTCTGTTTTTGTTTATTTTTCTTATTGTGCTCCAGAACAAGTCATGTTGTACAACTCCAGACTGACAAGTGAGAATGAAATTAAAATACGTGGACACCAGAACAGACGACGCGGCGGTCTAAACCAATCAGCCTTCCAACACCCTCACCCTCGCAACAACTGTGAAGCATGAAGGTGGAGGTGTTACGACCTGCAAATTATTTGCAGGCATCAGACGGAGCTTTGGGAAAATGTGAGACCATCTGCCCAAAAAGGAAAGTTGAAACTGAATTGGACAGCTTCTCCACCAAGGACTGGATAAAAATGAAAAAAAAAAAAAAGTCTTTTGTCAGTTCTTCATCTCGTTAAGAAGCTTTTGGGTGGCTTGAAACGGAGGTGAGAAACTTTGTGATAGTGAGGAGTGGGACCAACTTTCCTCCTATCAGTGTTGGAGACTGATTCTGGCTACAAGAAGCATCATTAAAGTTTTTTCAGCTAAAGGCGATAAGACTAGCTATGAGGAGGTCAGGGGACCTAACATTTTTGCTCACCCAGAAAATACATTTTTGTTGATAACATCTGTTTAATTAGTAAAATTAAGACAATTCAGTCACATCACTACATATGTTTGTAAGACTTTATTGAAACACGATCCATGCTAGCTGCAGTAATAGTACCTGACATCATCATTATTCACCAAAACTATATTTACATTTAAATCTTTGCTGCATTGAATCAATGTAAACTCACTGAATTTACAGTGTCTTAGTTTTCCCTCTGTTGTTGGGTTGAGGTTTGTGTCGGATGATCACTTTCTTCTATAGTTATACAAGCCGTCCCGCTGAACTGAGAGGACATAGTTGTTTCTATGGAAACAACTTAAAAGATTAAAGCCGTGAAGAGTGAGCCAGAGCGATTCCCATAAAGCCCTCTGCCTGGGGATGTCGGGAGAAGAAAGGGAAG